GGGCTGGGATCCCCTCAGGAACTCCAGGAGTTCCTTGCTGCGCCCCTCGGGAATTCCAGCAGTTCCCCTGTTCCCATCCCTGATGTTTCCCCAAGGAATTCCAGCATTTCCCTGTGTCCATCCCTGATATTTCCCCAAGGAATTCCAGCAGCTCTCCCTGCTTTGCCCCCAAGGAATTCCAGCAGCTCCCCTGTGCCCATCCCTGATGTCCCCCAAGGAATTCCAGCAGCTCTTCCTGTTGTGCCCCCAAATAATTCCAGCAGGTCCTCTGTGCCCATCCCTGATGTTCCGCCTCCAAGGAATTCCAGCAGCTCTCCCTGCTTTGCCCCCAAGGAATTCCAGCAGCTCCCCTGTGCCCATCCCTGAAATTTCCCCAAGAAATTCCAGCAGCTCCTCTGTGCCCATCCCTGGTGTTTCCCCAAGGAACATCCACCCAAAAACCACTCGGCACATTCCTATCACCACATCCACAGCTCCTCTGTGTCCATCCCCGGTGTGCCTCCAAGGAATTCCATCAATTCCCCTGTACCCATCCCTCCTGTGCCCCCAAATGATTCCAGCAGCTCCTCTGTGCCCATCCCTGATATTTCCCCAAGGAATTCCAGCAGCTCTCCCTGCTTTGCTGCCAAATAATTCCAGCAGTTTCCCTGTGCCCATCCCTGGTGTTTCCCCAAAAAATTCCAGCAGCTCCTCTGTGCCCATCCCTGATATTGCCCCAAGGAATTCCAGCAGCTCCTCTCTGCCCATCCCTGCTGTGGGCATTTCTCTCCCATTTTTTTGGACAAAACAACAGCATGGCAGCGTATTCCCATCCAAAATTCCCAATCCTTGGGGTCTGTGCTGCACCAAAGGTGGATGGAAACAGGCAGGAAGAATCCCTGTGCTCCTGGAGCTGGTTTTCCCTCTGAGCTCTGTGCTGGGCTAATGCAATAATGCCCCGTCCCTGCCTCTGGATGCAGTCTGGAGCTCTCCCCCTGCTCTCCTGCTCCCTGATGAGATGTTCAGGGATCTGGCAATCTGGGAATTGCATTACACATCCCCCGGCTGCAGCAGCTCTGGAGGCTCCTGATTCGATTTGCTCATTGCTCACTCCAATTTCCTCTCTTCCCTGATGGATAAACCCATTAGTGGGGTGGGAGGGGATGAGATTCCTGCTTTTTTGGGCGGCCTGGCCATGCCTTGTCATCCAGGGAGGTGACAGTGAGGTGACAGCAAGGTGGCAGTGAGGTCCCTTCACTTTGCAAGTGAGGAAAGGCTGTGTGGGACTGTGAGCAAAGGTTTGGGAATTTTTTGGAAGTCCCAGAGCAGGGATCTGTCCTGTCCTGGTGTCTCTGCTGGATCCAGGAGAGCCATGGGAGCCCCAGGGAGGTGACAG